TTTTCATTGCCTCCCTGTCAAGACCAGATAATTGGGTTATTGCTCGCGGCTTGTGAATGAATTGTGTCGTCGTTAAGGGGAACACAACTGCAGTGGAAGGCTGAATTTTTTAGAAGTGGGATATTGGCAGCATGAAACTAGGAATGCAATGCACGGATCAACCTCATGCAGCATCAGCCAGCGAAACGAGCAGAAGAAGTAATGAAGAGTGAGTAGCGTGAGGTACATAAAGCCTGTTAATAACATGGGACCTTGGATTTCAGATCTGAAAGAACACGTTTTGTAGCTGGCAACACAATCTTCGAGGACGTTTTGGCCCATTTATCATCCAGAGGATTCCTTGCGACTGAATATCTGGCGTGCAGACAGTTGAGGGGCGAAGGCGGTTGTCTTCATGAAGAGTTAGAACTATTATTCTAGATCGAGCGGTCGTATTTGTTCCCTTATGTCCCCAGTCGCTTTGTCAAAGTTTTGCTCACGGGATAGACAAAGCTGAGCCGCTGTATGCTCGCTCATCTCTTGGGCGGAAAATTAGTAATTGGTATGACCACTCTCCGGATGCCCTGTGTAAAAGTACGCAAAGGACTGATGTGTAAGGATCAAGTTCAACATGGCAATGGAGCATGACTGACTATAAACACCATTGAGCGCTATTGATTGTGAACTCAACGAAGCATAATTTCTGGTGAAGACATCAATCAAACATCATTGACCTATACAGATGAGTCATATTTGAGCTCTCTTCATCTGTAGATCCGAAATGATTGAACCACATGGAGTGAACTAAACATAAATATCTCCATAGAGTAACACAGTCTAGGAAGCTAGCAACGTTTCAGTTTCCTTAAAGTTCAGAACACGACCTGTAACTCGGGTACGTTGCTTTTGTGTTCAACTATCGGCAGGTCATCCTCTGGGTGCTTGTCCCTGAGCGCTTGTCTTGGCTAGCCAAGCACGGAAAGAAACAATTGTTTTCTTTGCAAAATTCAAATGCCCCGGCCTGTGGGGGTAATTGCTATAGCATTTCTGCTCCTTTCATAAATGTGTAATTCCATTCTTGTTATTTAACATGCATTAATGTGCTGATGAGGATCCCGTGGGTCTCTCGAGTCTCCAATGCTAGAAAGCAAGCCCACGAAACATTGAGCATGAACAACCAGACCGCAGATTATCACGACCGAGCTTTCAGAATCGGTAGTTTGCAAAAAGTTTGGTGTGTATCGCATGGATCTGTGGTGTACTGGGCAGGCCAGCGTCGTGTTATGTAGTGCATTGGGGCCCGTGAGTTCAGTAACACGTGCGTGCTCATTGGGTCCCCCAGCGGATGACGCCAGGAGGGCTCCGGCATGCTTGACCGTGACGTCCTTAAAAGCCGCCTTTTCTCCTTTCAATTCTGCCAGGCCAGCAACAGCATCGATTGTAACAAAGTTAACAAAACCTCAGGCCTGATATTCGGTACCTCTTGCAAAGGCCTGTCGAATTCCGATTGGAGGGTATATACGCACTGCCTGGAAAATATATGAAGCTGCAGATGAAGGACAATGGAAAGCTGAACTTCCTAGAAGCGGTCCGGGGTTGACGTTGGGCTTCCGTCAATGTGTTGACTGCTCTGTTGGTGCCTGATGAGGGATTGCGTCGTATATGTCATGACCGTATGATGCGTCATAAAATGATATAAGTTTGGTCTGAAACTTACCATGTCGAACATCCGCCTGTTCTTCACGCCGTCAACGTCTCGATAGCACGTACAGGATTGCCGGGGTTCGGCCTATTGGTGGGTCCGGTCTTATTAAGCTGTCTGCTGCCACATTTCCCAAAATGGCCGGGTCAAGTCTCGGGGCTGCTAGATGCCACCGGACTTTATTTGACCATTGATCGGGATCGCTGGGACGTCCGTTGACCGGTACCTAGAATACGATGCCCAGATATATTTCAGCCTAACTGCTTACAAAAGAGCTTAACGTCCTCGCCTGGGAATGAAAGCCTTAGGAAAGAGGCATCGGCATCGGCCGGTACTGTTTGTCGGGCAGTTCAGCCAGATGGTGTTTTTTTCAGCGCGCGCATCGCGCTAGACGTTACTAAGCAGACGCGCTACCCTCCGTCCCCAAGTTACTAAGAAGACGCGCTACCTTCCGTCCCCGAGATACCACGCCGGGAGGGAGGGAAGGGCCAGCACGGTCCGGTTTCTGGGAGCGTTCGGCACAAAGTCCAAAGTCCTGCCTGGCCGCCGCCGTGTGCCGCAAGACCCGTCTGACCCCCTCCCCATCCCGTCAGTCCGCCAGGGCAGAGGTGCGTCGGCACGGACCGCGAAGCAGAGACCGGCGAAAAACGCAGGACTCGGGCCAGTCTCGAACCTGAACACTTGGGGACCCATCAGAAGCACGTGAGATGTCGTCTGATGTGGTTCTAAAGACCACTGCCCGAGGTCCACGCAGTCCAATGTTTGAGCTCACGGAGTACCTGTAGCTCATCCGCTCGCCTCTACGTCCTTGGAAAAAATGGCCTCAAGGGAGTGTCGCCGCTTTGAGCAGTCCTCCCCCTCCCCCTCTGCCACCCCATGTGCGAACGGTGCTCACGGGAGAGAACTATTCTTGGTGAGCAGATGAAAGCTCTGCTATCTGCTCGCTCTCTGATGTTTGGCTGGGCCTAATCACTTGCCTGCTAATAACAGGGGAATATTGAACCGCTTGTTATAGGTGAACTGCCGCATGACAACAAAATAACGATTTGCTAAGTGTACCTGGTAACTCCATCACATTATGGTGTGTAAGAAGTCAAAAAAGCAACATCCTAGCTACCTATGCCAGTCAAGTCGAATTATGACCTGATATATGCTCGATTACAGCTCAATATTGTTATAGGTTCACTCAACTCATTCACTGCGCCCTATTCCTTAAAATTTTCAAAGACATCGCCGCAAAGGCCGGATATTCCTCCTTGCCTCCATTACATATCGGGAGATTCATGAATCGTTGTCCGTCCCACCCAGCACAAGTTTGCTGGTTGCATACCTCAAATTCTTCTAGACGTTTTCCTCGCTAGAGCTCGCATTGTCCTGCAATATATTTTTCATAGATATGTCTTGGGGCTCAACCGAAATGGCTTTGGCTGTGATGACCACGAAAATGCCGAAAATATGAATGTCAAAATGAACAAGGAAATGTCAGACCAATCGTATAAGTAGCGTGTTGCAAGCTCATGCGTAAAGCAAGCAACAAACCAACCTCTATGTTTAGAAGCAATCTCACGTTTCGCATCCGTCACAATGCAGACACCCATGGGTTAAGTGCGTCGGCCGGGTTGCTGCGGCCCTGCGCCGCCCACCTTCTCTACCATTCGTCATCCTCATGCCTGTGGTTGCGCCTCAGCTTGCTCCAATCACACGTTATCAGCATACCATCCTAGTGGGCCACACCATATGACGAGAAGCCATGTGATGGTCGCAAAACGGCCCAATGGCAGCACTTGATAAGAAATGCTGTGAAATGCAAGTACGAACTGCCGTTTTATTTTCCCATGTGACGCCACAGAAAGCCTAAATTTTTATCTAACATTAAACACGTATTCCAAAATGCATTTCAGTGTTACCGATGCAACTAACACTGCAAAAGTCGGGCATTTTGCGCCAAGCTGACAACGTTTTCTGGACTTATTCTGACCGAAATGCACTGCCAGAGCTATGCTCTCATGGTCCAGCCTAGCCTGCCTTGCGGGCGCTGGCCCTTCCACACCTGTTGCGCCCCTGTCATGCTCTCCTACAGGCCTGGGAGTCACCAGTCCGCAGACGGCGCCACTGGTTGAGCGCCGGCACGGTCCCCTCCCCCCGCGGCATGGGCGGCCCCGACTGATTGTCGCCGGGCGGGCCTGCTTTTCACACCCAGCAGCTAAGGGCGGTCGCGATCGAACTGGGCCAGTGCTGCTTCCTGCCCCGGGCGCGCCACTTCCCGATTGACAAGTTTGCGTAAAAACGGCGCGCGACGGTGAAAGCGCACTGCGACCGCCGGGGTCGGCACGACGCCTTAGCGTCACGTCCGGCACCTCTGCCGTGACGTCATGGGGCCCGGTGGGCCGGACGCGTCGGCGGCGTGACTGCGTCGGACCGTGTTCAGAGGCGCGGACCGAGCAGGCGGCCAGGCCCGGCTGCCGCGACAGCTCTTATCTGGAGGGCATGTTCTTCCCCGGGCTGTAATCTTGGCCACTCGTATCTTTCTTCACCTCGACCGATATTAGAGTCTGGGCAAGCGAGCCGTGGACGGTTACTGCCCCAGAACAGGTAACAGCTAGCGTTACCAGATCTAAGTGGGGCAATGCTGCGCGCATGCAATAAAGCCTGGTGGCGCTTACGATGTCTTTAAGGGCACGCATTATGACACCGGCGAGAATTCTGCTGGGGCCAACCGCCTAGACACAACTAATAGGAAGATCGGTGCCATTTTGCGTTGACCTAAGTCAAACATATCAATGACCTGCCAATGAAAAAAGACCAGGCAATAACTTTTATCTATACGACGCACACCGAGCGCCTAAACATCACAAGCACGGCCTGTTTCAGCTCCCCTTAATGTGCATAGCTCCCAAGTCCATCCTCAGTTGAGAATGGCCCCGATACAGCAGCATGGCCTGTCTGTGTTGGACAGCCTCGCTGCACAGCAGTCAGCCAGTGAAGGCCCCTCTTTGTCTCGGCAGCGCACCATGAGCGAGACTCGACCGCGCTGGTCACCGACCTCCGTGACGCTGACGGACGTCTCCCCCGAGCGACTGGAGTCGTCCGTCGCCACCAGCCTACCGTCACCGACCGAGGTAGCGTCCCCTCACCAACACCCCCACCATCAGCAGCAGCAGCAGCAGCAGCAGCAGCAAACACATCAGCAACACCAGCCGCCGCAGCAGCCACCGTCGCATCAGCAGCAGCAGCAGCAGCAGCAGCAGCAGCAGCAGCAGCAGCAGCAGCAGCAGCAGCAGCAGCAGCAGCAGCAGCAGCAGCAGCAGCAGCAGCAGCAGCAGCAGCAGCAGCAGCAGCAGCAGCAACAGCAACAGCGGCAGCAGCAGCCATTGCCCGACCCCAGTACTATCATGGAAAAGCCGTACGTGCTGGAGCTGAAGAAGGAGCTGGGAGAGGAGCTTGTAGTGAGCCACGGCTCGCCGCACGGCGCCGGCTCGCCGTACCCGCTCGGTCGTAACGGCACGCCCGGCGGCCACGCCACGCCCACGCCTTACGACGACTCGGTCACGCTGCACGCCTCGCACGGCGGCCACGAGATCGCGTTCAAGGCGGAGGCGCTGGCTGCCGAGCCGGTACTGGTGGAGGGCACGCCGCACATTGTGTACCCGGGCGGGGGAGGCGAGACGCTCGAGCCGGCCGCCATGGCTACGCTGCGCCCCATCTCACCGCCCCCGCTCCCGGCCTTCTCGTGCGGCCAGGCCGAACCGACCCTCAGCTACACGTGTCTGCAGCCGAACGGCACCGTGTCTCCGCTGCAGAGCTACGCCCCCTACGTCAGCTACGGTGGCGCCGCCAGCGGCAACTGCTCGTACTACGCGCCGCCGCCCACCTACAAGCACGAGCGGTACGTGACGCAGGGCTATGAACTGAGCTCGGCGTACGCACCCGTCCTACCGGTCGATATCCAGCGCATCAACAGCGGCGGTGGCAGCAGCAAGGAGCACGATGCCGTGAGCTGGATGTACGACTATACTGGCGCGCCGGCGAGCATGGCCGCCCAGCCCAGCCTCTCCTATAACGGCGTCACCTGGCAGGGCGCCTACGACGTCACCGATCTACGCAAACTCGACTTTGGTCAGTCCACTAAACGCTCTTCCAGTGCGGTGTTCGGTTTCTTTTGCATTTGCTTCGGGTATAAGAGGTACACAGTGCGTTCAAAATGAATTTACCACATCACGCTTACCTGATTTTAGAGAAAAGAATTCATGTTTTCACTTGAGTCGTTGTTTTACTTATATTTTGGCGAGCCTCTAGTATTTCTGCCCTTTCACTGGGATGCAAAAAAAGCTGCACGTTTTCTGTATCGCCTCGTTTTGGATAGAAGCGGGTATTACTCATTCGTGAGACCAAGCATCAGGGGCGGATCCAGAGGGAGAGGGACCACGGGACCATGTCTCCCCTTGGGCCCCGAAGGGGCCTATTGGCTCGGAAGGAGCCAATAGCCGGCCGAACAGGTGCAGTTTTTTTAACACAAAACGCAGTAAAATTGGGTGTCTTTGGACTTGCAGGCAAACAAGAACAGTCCCAACTGAAAGTAAAGGACCCACGGGTGGACAGAAACAAACGTCAATGATTGAAAAACTGTTCTTTAGAAATGTTAAGCTTCGTTATGCTGTTCAGGGAGCCCATGCCGTTTCCGGGGGGACTTATTTGCTCACTTGCAAAGTCATTCTGGTCGTTAAGCAGCCTTCCACTTCGCCCTTGATTTTTATAATTTGCTCGGGGGAGGCTGCCCTGTTGCTGGGCCCTTCCTGCTAGCGTGGCGGGGCGCTCTTGTCAATCAGGGGCCTTCTACATATCCTTTTAATTCGGCGGAAAGGCTATGTACGCTATAGCTGGGGCTCCATATGTAAACCTGCCGGGGTATTCTCGGCTGCTCAGGTGCCCTTTATGTTGGTCTCGGTTAACCTATGGGCACACTCACAATATGCTCATCAGCCCTCTTCACTGGTCTAGGGTGTTTCCAATTCTCTGCCACTTGCTTAGCGCCCTTCACTTTTGTCTGGCGCCAACATGTTAATCTCCTTGGGCACATCGGTCGTTCCGGGCACACGAAATTGGGTCGTGGGTGCTTTCTATTTGAATGGAGGCCCCTATACATTTGTCAGGGCCCCATCTGTTATTTTGGCGCCCTGCACATTGGGTATTCGAATTCAGGGCCCTACGCTCCTGTTGGGGGCCATCTGGCAGCCTGCTCGGGTACACTTGCTCCTTCGCGGGTCCTCCACACCGAATCTTGAATACTTCTTATTTGAGAAGGGGCCCTGCGATCTTGTCGGGGGCCTGTTTGATGACCTGCTCGGGTGGGATCGATCGTTCGGGGGCCCCTCTAAATTGGATCTTGAGTGCTTCCTTTTTAATGAGAGCCCTCCACGCCTGTCGGGGACACTCTGTTTACCTCCTCGGCAACACTCAATTGTTCGGAGACCTCCGAGCATTGGGTGTTGCACATTGGGTCTTGGTGCTTGAATTTAGGGCCCCAGAGTCCTATTGGGGCCATCTGATAACTTGCTCGTGTGCACTTCATCTTCCGGGGGCTCTCCGCACTGGATTTTGTGTACTTCTTATTTGAATGGAGGGTCTTGTGCTCTTGTCATGACCCCTTCTGACAAGCTGCTCGGACACCTTGGATCGTTGGGGGAGCTCTACATCGGGTCCTGGGCGCCTCCTATTTGAGTGGAGGGCTCTACGCTGTTGACGGGGGCCCTATCTGTTAACCTTCTCTGGCGCGTTCGATTATTCGGGGCCCTCTCCATCATGCCGTGGGTATTTCATAT